CAACCACTGGACACACCACTATTTCAGTAAGATATATAAGATATACATATGTCAGTAAGGTAAAATATATTCCCGCCTCTTTCCTTAAGACAAATTAGACACGCCACTATTTGAGTAGGGTATATAAGACATATACCTATCTCATGTCAGTAGGGAAATATTTCAGTCATGGTATATTATTTTAGCTATAAATTTCACGACTCTATTTCAGTGGAGTATATAAAACACACCAATATTTCAGTAAGTTATTTAAGATAAACCTATTTCAATAGAGTAATATTAGATACACCACTATTTTATTGGAACACATTAAGCACACTTCTATTTTAGTAGGGCATATTAGAAACACACTTACTTTAGTAGAGCATATTAAACACTCGCCTATTTCTGTAAGTTATATGACAAACCTATTTCAGGCGATCATATAAGCCTAACCCCTATTTCAACAATTCATATTAGAAATACCCCTATTTTAGCGGGGTATATTGGACACATATTACGGAGGCACGGTGGAGTAATGGATAGCGGCACGGATTGAGGAACTGGAGAGCCGAGTTCGAATTCAAGTCGAATCCATAGCATTCACTTACGAGCTAATACACTTGGAAAAGGTATGAATCCTCTTTTTCTCACCCACCTATGGGTAAATAGCAGGACAAACCGGGTTCTATAGCCTTGGATGGCAACTGGTCTACCGCAGAAAGAAATGGCAACCTACTGTGAAAAGAAAATCTACCTCATCAGTCATGTATCGAAAGATACATGATCGCCTAAGCACATAACTGACTGATGTTGATTACGTATAAACTAGAAAAAAAAGCAGAGCCCATTGAAGTTTATTTCAATATTTCTTCTGTTAGATGGAACAGGGAAACGAATATGCTCCGATTTCTGTCTCTCTATGTCTGTCTCTGTCTCTCCCTGTCAGTGTCTGTCTCTCTGTTTCTCTCTGTCTTCTTCTGTTTGCCTCTCTCTCTCTCTCTCTCCCATCTCTTTCTTTTTACCTTCCATATTTTTCTTCATCGATACCCCACATTTCTTTGTCCTTGTTTGATCTGTCAATCACGCAAACTCCTCATATCAATTCCATAGAACGGACCATGATGTCGCCGGAATTGTTCATCTATACGTAAATAATCCGTCAAATTTGACGGGTAGTATGCTGATTAAGCTTAAACTTGCATAGGTAGAGCACGTTGTATAAATAAAATACAATTTAAAATCAAATATTTATTCATTTTTTAGGGCATGAGAAAATATATTTCAATTTCGAGAACGAGAGTGAGAAAGAGAGACCTCTGTCTCAACCTCTCACTCTTGTTCTTAATTTTTTCGATCTCTCTCTCTCTCTCTCTCCCTCTTTCTCTTTCTCTCATTCTCTTTCTCTCTTTCTTTTCAGAGCCATACCACGTTTCTGAAATCAAGAAAAGATAACTCTTCTCTTTAGTTGAATAGTCTTAATAGCAACGAAGAAATTAATATTAAAAGAAAGAAAAATAAAGAAACCTCATTGTATATTATCTACTTCTGTTCGCTATCGAACGTCTTTCGAATCTTAAAGGGAATAAAATAATCTAATTTCATTTGCTTAAATGTCAGCCTTATTAGTGAATTCCACACCTCGGCATATTTACATGCAATAATCTATAAGGTTCGTCTTGAATCGATGTCTGCCCGAAGGTTGCCGGAAGCAATCGATGACATTGCACATGCGTAAAAGCGTCGTACATTATACACATCGAGTTATGGCCGCTGGCATTTGAGCAGTGGTTTGGTTTAACGGACACAGAAGCTTCCGGCCAAAACATTCATCCTCACGTGTTTAAATATTTTACGTATTACTTATATCAAGAATCGATGCTGACCTGATTTCTTGCCAGACTACAATGACAGCCTTCATGCAGATCACAGAGAAAACCGTATTTGTAATTTTGTAATTAGATTTGAATACTGGGAATTAGTTGACTGTGGTTTCCTAAGGTTAACGTTTGTTTAGGCTTAGGGTTAGTGTTAGATTCACTTAAGGCTTTGTAATCACCAATACATGGCATCACTGTTAACTCAACAATGCTTTGTGTGTATATTTTGATAGATAATGAACAGACTGAGATAGATAGATAGATAGATAGATAGATAGATAGATAGATAGATAGATAGATAGATAGATAATGAACAGGGATATATAAGTAGAAGAAACTGGAATAGATAGATAGATAGATAGATAGATAGATAGATAGATAGATAGATAATGAACAGAGATATATACATAGAAGAAACTGAGATAGATAGATAGATAGATAGATAATGAACAGAGATATATACATAGAAGAAACTGAGATAGATAGATAGATAGATAGATAATGAACAGAGATATATACATAGAAGAAACTGAGATAGATAGATAGATAGATAGATAGATAGATAGATAGATAGATAATGAACAGAGATATATACATAGAAGAAACTGAGATAGATAGATAGATAGATAGATATGAAGAGGCTGAGATAGACAGACAGAACAGTATATATCAATGGTTGCTCCCTAATATAGACATTTTATAACGAAGTTTGTTTCTAATTCAATATTTTGGCGCACGATATTAAAGGCCGATGCTGTTAGTATGACATGACGTTTAAAATCAAATCAGCCCACAGATCATGATATGGAAATATAGTAAATTCTACGGGAAGTAGTAAAGGAAAGCAAGAAGAAAGTCCGAAACATCGCTCGTAAGAAGACATAATGTATGGCTGCCAGCAACATGCCAACCCAACATGCGAATTACAAACTGGAGATAGCAAAATCAAGCAAGCACACAAAGTTAAAATATCTAGTAAGTGTTTTAACAGTAGACGTAAAGTACGACATCGTAATCCAAAAGAGCATTTAAGATAGTGAAAGTGCCTTCCTTACGCTAAGCAAAGTATTAAGAATAGGTTGCTAATTTTAACAGAACGCTTTGGCAGAAGCCTTAGGCAGAACCCTTTTTGAATGGTTGATTGCTAACCTTCAGGAGAATGACTCGTTACGCCTTCTTAGGTTTACGTTTTCCGCAAAATGACGTAAAATGGTGAGATTATTTAGACATTTAGAATTTCTTTGGTGACAAAGAAAAGGATACTGAGCTGTTAGGTGATATCTGTCCTTCTTTACGGCAGCGAATGTTGGGCGATTTCCTCAAGGATGAAGAAGAGACTCGAGGCGACGGAGATGTGGTTCTACAGAAGGATGCTAAGGATATCATGGACCGAGCGTGTGAGCAACGGTGAAGTGTTAAATAAGATGCAAACAAGGAAGAGGCTTATGCTTAATATCAGGAAGAGGCAGCTGAATTTTCTGAAACACAAAAAGAGGAAGGACTGCCCGGAGAATCTGATACTCACGGGGCGAATAGAGGGAAAGAGAGACAAGGAAAATTAACGCATGATATACCTAGCGGCCTTAAGAAAGTGGATAACAGTCTGGGAGAGGAAGCAGACAGAAGGAACTTGTTGAGAGCTGCAAGGGATAGAGGGAGGTGGGGAGTCATTGCTCGCCTACGTCCTGAAAAGACATGGCACATAAAAAGAAAGTTGCTTTATTATCTGGAAAGATCGACGGCGGTAAGTGCGACACTGAGATCCGTAGACGCATTGGGATGGCCAAGGACAAATTCCAAAAGCTGGACAGAGTATTACGGGACAAGAGGATTACTTTGGTAACAAAGAAAAGAATACTGAGCTGTTAGGTGATATCTGTCTTTCTTTACGGCAGCGAATGCTGGACGATTTCCTCAAAGATGAAGACAAGACTCGAGGCGACGGAGATGTGGTTGCACAGAAGGATGCTGAACATTTCGTGGACTGAGCGTGTGAGCAATGATCAGGTCTTGGAGAAGATGCAGACAAGGAGGAGGCTCATGCTTAACATCAGGAAGAGGCAGCTGAAGTTTCTGGAACACATAATGAGGAAGGAGGGCTTGGAGAATCTGATACTCACTGGTCGAACAGAGGGAAAATGAGACAAGGGAAAGCAGTGCGTGGCATTCTTGGCGGGCTTGAGCAGGTGGATGATAAAACGTCGTCTGGAGGAGGTGGCAAAGGGAAGGAACTTGTTGAGAGCTGCAATGGATAGAGGGACGTTGAGAGCCATGATCGCCTATGTTATGAAAGGACATGGCACATAAAAAGAACGAAGTCTGTCGTTATGCTGCAATAAAAGCTGGTTCACTGTGTCCTGTGCTAAACAATTTTCTTTGCCAGAATTTATCTTACATATTTATAAGTTTACCATTTGTCCATGCTTTGAATATCGCTGCCACATTTAGTCTGAAGATTCTGCTATCTATTTAGAGATACTTGACAAAATTCAAAGACTAATCTGCAATGTTATCGGTTTCAGCCACATTCCAACTTCTATAGCGTAGCTTCCCTGCTTTTTTTCTGGAAATACTTTAATGGCAATTGTTCTGGTGGACATCATCTAAGCAAACTAGACTTTATGAATTTAATAGCAGTACTGAATTGGTGCGAAAGTCTTGAAATGCTTACAGATAAACGTAATTTACATGTTAACAGATTCTTTTCTCGCACTTTTCACTCGTGGGACTCTCTTCTGGATGCTTGCTTCCTCGTCAGCGTTGATCTTCAAAAATTTAAATGCAATGTTAGTCGTTATCTTAAAGTTTATTAATTCATGTTCGTTTAATGTTCTCTCAATAATTAATAGTGCTTTTTTTCATATCCTCACACACTCAGTAACATCTTACAAGGTAGTGGCATTATTGCCTTGCTTGGGTTGAAATGATTAAAAAAACAGGAACATCTCGTGAGAAACAAAGAAAAGAATAATGAGCTGTTATGTAATATCAACCTTCCTACATGGCAATCAATGTTGGATAATCTCCTCAAAGATGAATAAGAGATTTTAGGCAATAGAAATATGGTTCTACAGAAGGATGCTGAGAATAGAATACTTGAGCAGCGATGAAGCTTTACAGAAAATGGAAACCAAAACAAAAAGTATACCTACCTCAGTAAGAGACATTTGAAATTTCTAGGGCATATAATGAGGAAAGAAGGCTTGGAAAATTTGATACTCACATGACAGTAAGAGTGACAAACAAAGCATAACATTCCTAACAAGTTTGTGTAAATGGTTGGCAGAACAGGGATTTGGAGAGATAACGAAAAACAACACCAGCCAAGAGCTATAAAGAACAGAAACGTGTGGAGAGCCATGATCGTCCAAGTCCTGACGGGATACGGCACAGAGAATGAGAAGATCTGCGCAGCACTCTAGAAAAATCGCGTGATATGGAACTCTGTCCGAAGCAGCTGTGCTTCAGTGAATTTTTCGTTGTTGTAAAAAAAAATTATGAATATTGATCAATATCTGCAGAACGTTTATGGAAACCAAGTAGTGGATGTGAGCACAGTTGGGTGGGTGGGTCGAATGCATTTCAGCAGTATCGACACCAGGTCCCTGACAATGAAAGACTGACTTCCTAACAAGGCCACCATGTATATAATTTACATGACTTGTGTGCATCTTTCTTGTTATTATCCCATGGTTCCGGCCGTTATGTTCTCCGGCCTTCATTATGAGATTATCGATTTTACAGGGTTAATTGTTTCTCGTTCCGATGACCATGGATTCTTGCCTAATTATCTAGTACTGCCCATTAAGTTAAGCAACGTTGAGCTTGGTCAGTATCCAAATGAGTGACCGCTTCAAAATATCAGGCTTGAATGTCCTGATGCGGTAATGGATAATGCCTCGCAATTATTATTCGAAAAGCCGACTTCGAATTCCATTTGGGTTCGTTATATTCACTTACGCGGGAATACCCTTGGGAAAGGTATGGATCCACCTTTTCTTCCCCCATCTATGGGTTAATTAGCAAGATATTTGTCATTAAATCATTATTATATCAAAAAAAAAAAAAGATTCTTACAATCTAAAATATTTTTTGGTTTTAAATAATCTGCAAAGGGTTGATAAACCGTAAAAAAATGAATGCATCGATTAATCCGTTTTCGGCCGAAATGTTGTGAAAAACAAAAAAGATAAGAAATTTGGAGAGAATGAGATCGTGAAAAAAAAGTGTTTTCGATTTGAAATAATGATGTAGCGATATTTCTGCCTACAACGGATTTCAAAGTGACGACACTTACACTTATTTCTCATTTTTTAAAAAAGAGTTACTGTCTTAGTGAACTTTTTAGGAAGATACATTGTCATCAAGTGCCTTACCTGCTAGGGGAGTATTGGAGACCCATCTTCGACAGATTGCCAATCGAGGATAAGAAGCTTCAATCTGTACATAACTTGCATACTCATGCCTATGTATCGAGCACTAAAATCGTTTGATTCCAAACAGTTTCGTAACAAGATTTATGGGAGTTTTTTTCCAAACACGGATAGCACATTTTGACCGTGATAGTTGACGTTATTGAGTATAGGCTTTTTATTTTTTATTATGAATGCTTCCAGTAGTTTAGTTTTTTTACATGTGGATTAGGCTATTTTATTCAGTAAAAAACATTCATGAGTATTGATAAAAGAATAGCCGAAAGCGCTCGAAGATACCGAAAATTGAGGAAAGAAAAAAGGCTTATACGAACACAAATAATAATTTAAGAAGGTTAAACGCAGTACTTGGTCAGTCGTATTAAGTGAATATATATATATATTTATATATATATAGATAGATAGATAGATAGATAGATAGATAGATAGATATATGGGAACACATTTTAAATGCAAGTATCATGAATAATAAAAATGACATAGATAAGTAAATATATTTATTACATAACTGATATTCAAGAGTTCAACATATCTCGGATTTTGTTATTTCCTACAGGTGTCTAGTATCTCTTTTGGTGAAGGTGTATTCTCATAATGTCTTGGACTTCAAAAGAAATTGCATATGTAGTGGAAGCATAATTCACTAGCCAAATATTCATCTCTGCAGACCAAATGAAATTCCAACTTTGGAAAGCAACCACTTGGATATCCGTTATGAAATAAATATATTTAGTACTCGTTGTCATTCTCATAATCCAAGATACTTGCCTCTAAATTGTGTTCAATCATTATGGGAGACGCTATATATATATATATATATATATATATATATATATATATATATATATATAAAGAAAAGAACAGTAAGATATATAATCCGGTGTTCTTATAGATATTTTTATTTTTACAAAATAGTGCTCAATGTAAATTTACAGAGCATTAAAAAAATTCGCTTGAAATGGAACTAATTTTTTTAATTTAATCACAAAATTGAATTCGGGGCTTTTAGCTTCCATTTTTGAAACATGGTTAGAACTGTGTAGCGAAATAAACCATATTTTAAATCAACAAATTTTGGAAGATGCAATGGGTACAAACATTTTTTAGAGCTACAAAGATTAGAACGTTGTGGAGACCCATGATCACCTACGTCCTGAAGGGATGCAGCCCATAAAAGATGCATTGCGACTTATTACCATTAATTGCTC